CTGGATTAAAGAACATGCTAGGACACTGAAAAAAGACCAAAGAATGCGACGGATCTTCAAAAACTGGAACGAGATTCGACGATTGCTGTTCATGTTTTGTGCGAAGGACACACAATAGACTTCGATAACCCCAAGATTTTGAGACAAGGTTTTCGTAGCCACAAAGAAAGTATGATCTCCGAAACTTTGTGGATTAACACTGAAGCTAAATGTGTCAACCGCACGGAGGGGACTGATTTGCCAGTGGCCTGGTGTGACGCTCTCTCCATTATCCCAACAAACCACTTGACCTCTCGTGTATTGTTTTCACACACCAACACAGATCACGTAATAGGTGCAGATCCCACAGAGCCCTAATGATAATCCGAATCCAACATACATACACACACACACACGCCCACACATACACGGAAACTTACGTACTTGACCCCGTTTTTGGGACAACCTTGAACGCCGCGATTTTCACCTTAAAGCTTGTGTTTTTGACAAACCGATTAAACTGACTTGACGAAGGCCTTCCAAGAAGGTTGAAACGTTGTCACCGAAATCTTGTGTTTTGGTATTCACGTTGTGGCTAAAACAAACCTGATTCTATTGTTACCATGATCACAACGCCCAAATTTTTCGAAATGATCCGGGACACCTATGGATTATTAACTGTTTAAAATCAAACAATGTGGGTGCTATTTTGGTTCCTTTAGGGACAGTTCATTCTGTACCAAAACAATTGATAATGATTCATTGAAAAAGAACAAGACATAAATACACACATACATACAGACATACAGACATGCATACATATGAGAAGATAATAGCTTGAAACCTACCTGATTTTCACGCGGTTGCTGATGCGAAGTAGGGTTGTGTCCCGGGAACTGATCAACGGTCTCATATAGCGAGTCCATGGAACCGAATTCTCCCCGGGCCATATGAGCGGCCAGTCGGCTCTGGGAAGAAACCGTTACTGGGCCCGATCGGGCCGGATCATTGGTTGTATTCCACATCGGAGCCCGTATGTTCGGAGCTTGTCTTGCGGCTGAGAGACTAACTCGGGGTGGGGGAGCTGGGGCAGCCGAACTGGGCGTGTCCGGATAGACAAAACCAAACTCGTTGGCATCGTAGTAGTGGTTGCTTATCATAGCTTCAGATAGGGGTCGAGAAGAATCGCCTATTCGATGACAATGGAAGGGATTTAAAGCGGGGTGATCCGTGTGGGAAACACTAATCAAAATGTTTATTTGATCAACAAAATCATATTTCAGGTTTTCAAACCCCATACCTGGATTAGGCGACAAGATACATTATTAAATTATTTTTTTACTCCAAGATAGGTATGGTGTACGGGGAAGGGATAAACCCAATAATATTAAAAACTGCTCTCAAGGGGTGAGGAGAACAATTTATCGAAAACATAAATTGTTGGTTTTGTTTTTGAATATTAAATGATTATGAGAAGAAGACAAAGAGAGTTAAACTGTACCGAAATTCCGAGGTTCTTTGGTAGAAACCACATGATATAGGCGACTTAACGGTTGTGACTGCTCTCTCGAGGGGTTGAACATACGGGAGGGATTAATGCCTCAAGCTCCCTGGAGTAAAATCCAGGGAGGATAACGACGATAGAAGAGGGACTGGAGGGGTCGACTGCACAACGACGACCATGCTACGGACAGATCTGCAATCAGCGGATGTCCTCACGCTAAACACGATAAAAATGTAGAAGAGAGGAAGAAAAGGCCCCTTTTGCGAACATGGCTACACCATTCCATAGAGTCAAGTCACGTCAAGAAGCGGCTTTAATTCCCCCTATAGGGGATGAACATTCAGCTACTACACAAGAGAACTACTCTTCTTTGGAATTACATGGTAACAAAGCGTATGGTGATACGTTACATATACAAAAAGCCAATTTAGCAAAGATTTTGTCTAAGAGTTCCAATGACAAGATCAGCGTTGGTAAGAAACCGTGCCAGGTACGGTATTATAGAAGACTTGTTTGTAGTGGTGCGTGCTGCTATATGTTTATACATGGAACGAATGCTAGATGTAGAGATACATTGACTAAGATGAGGGTACAGTGGGT